GGGAAGGGAGCAGGAGCGATCGGAGGGGAGAGAGGAGCTTTGCTGAGGGAGTATCAGAACCGGGACGGAGACGCAGTGCCTGTGAGAGGAGACAGTTCCCGTACTGACGGCCATGAGTGCCATCATACATCGTTAACTAATTAGTACCGGTGGTGCGCAGGCCGCAGGGGAAGAGGTGCTGTCACTGGACACCGGAGACTGCAGTGACCGCTCGCTCCAGCCCTCCTCTGCTCCCAGTAGGGCTTAGCCCTCCGCTCACTGCCCCTACCTCTCTCGGCGCCCGGTGCTCCCGGAGGTGCCGTTGAGTTGCTGAGGCAGACAGGGCTGCAGCCCCAGGGAGTTCAGGCCCCTGGTGTGTGTGTGTGTGTGTGTGTGTGTGTGTGTGTGTGTGTGTGTGTGTGCCTGCACAGTCACAGGCCTGTTCGGGCAGCTGTGTAGTCAGCACTGAGCCCTGTCCAGCACAGGGACACTGACCACTGACCGAGGTACAGCTTCACGGCTGCTGTGTGCTACCACGCATACGCTGACCACAGGGCATACTGACCGCTGACACACAGGCAGTGGCTGTCTGTAGGGCCTGGACATCATGGACACCAACAGTGGTCACTCTGACCCAATGTGTGTCCACAGTCATGAGATCAGGGTAAAAGCACAGTACAGCGCAGTACAGCCCAGTGAGATCGGGGTAAAAGCACAGAACAGCGCAGTAGATCCCAGTGAGATCAGGGTAAAAGCACAGTACAGCGCAGTACAGCCCAGTGAGATCAGGGTAAAAGCACAGAACAGCGCAGTAAAGCCTAGTGAGATCAGGGTAAAAGCACAGTACAGCGCAGTAGAGCCCAGTGAGATCGGGGTAAAAGCACAGAACAGTGCAGTAAAGCCCAGTGAGATCAGGGTAAAAGCCCAGTACAGCGCAGTGAGATCAGGGTGAAAGGAAACAGATCTAACGGATCCATGGTATTTGGGGACTTGAGAACAGGGCTGTGCAGTCTGTTCCAGACACCCGCTGCTCTCTGTGTGCAGTAGCGCCCCCGTTCCCAGTCCTGACCGAATACTGGGGTGCAGTCTAGGGGTCAAGACCACAGAGACTCGGTCCCTTCGAAGGGTTCCGCCACAAAGACACGAGCCCCGGAAATCTCACGGGTCAGGGCGGTGCGTGGGGCCGCGTCACGAGGGGACGCGCGCCGGTCCACGCACACACTGAGACACCGGCAGCTGGCGGCGGAAAAACGATGCTCACTCTCCTCCCTCTCCCCCTCTCTCTCTCTCTCTCCCTCCCTCCCTCCGCAGGCTTGACTGAAAAGACGAGTCTCCTCGACAGTCTGCCATCTCTCCGCTCGGAGGAAAAGTGGTGCGCAGTCCGCGTCTCTCCCTGCACCCCCACTGCCCGCGCGCCCCGAGCGGCACCCAGGACCCCCACATCTGGGGGAGAGAGGGGGAGACCCGTCTCCGGTCCGATTCCGGAGGAGGAGGAGGAGGAGACGGGGCGAAGCGAAGCGAAGCCGACAGGACCGGGGAAGAGCGGCTGTCTTTTGGAAGGGGCTGTGCACGAAATATTTGTTTTGATTTTTTTTCGGGGGGACAGTCTCCGGAAACCGGGGCTCGGCCACGGAGAAACGCCGCTCGCGCCAGCGCTGGGATTTACAGAAACCGGGAAACCGGGAAGAGGCAGCCCGAGTCCTCGCGGGCGATTTTTCCCCCCCGATATATTACTGGAAGAGGCGACGTCGGCGGGACCGTCCGTGTCCGGTCCCGCGTGTGTCCAGAGCAGGGGCTGAAGCCCCCGAGCGGCCGTGGCGGTGCGGACGGTGGAGCGGAGCGCTACTGGCAGGTAAATGTCCACGCGTGTACAGAACACGGGAATACAGGCTCCGGACGTCCGTGGGCTCGGGAGCCGCACGGCGGCCGCTGTGGTTGTGTCACGCGTGTGTGTGTGTGTGTGTGTCGCCTGGTCGGTCTTGTCCCCCCGTGTTCCGGCAGCGGAACCCCAGCTGCGGCGGCTCGCGCTCGGTCCCTCCCTCTCCCTCTCCCTTGCGCGCGGTCGCAGCCCGCTGGACCCACCTGTCCCGCCGCGTGCCGGGGAAACAGGCACATGCTACTGAGCGAGTGAACAGGTTGTGCGCGCGCCTTCTGTGTGTGTGTCTGTGCTGGTGCTGTTGTGTTGACTGTTCATGGGCATTGCTAGTGTGTCTGCTTGCATCAATATTTGTGAGCATCATTGTGTTACTGTGTTTGTGTGCGCCAATATTTGTGAGCATTACTGTGTTTGTGTTAGTGTGTCTGTGTGCGTCAATATTTGTGAGCATCATTGTGTTACTGTGTCTGTGCGCACCAATATTTGTCAGCATTACTGTGTTAGTGTGTCTGTGTGCACCGATATTTGTGAGCATTACTGTGTAAGTGTGTCTGTGTGCACCAATATTTGTGAGCATTATTGTGTTAGTGTGTCTGTGTGCACCAATATTTGTGAGCATTACTGTGTTCGTGTTAGTGTGTGTGTGTGTGCATCAATATTTGTGAGCATCATTGGGTTCATGTTAGTGTGTCTGTGTGCATCAATATTTGTGAGCATCATTGTGTTCGTGTATCAGTGTGTATCAATATTTGTGGGCATTATTGTAATAGTGTGTCTGTGTGCACCACGATTTGTGGGCATTATTGTGTTCGTGTTAGTGTGTCTGTGTGCACCAGTGATTGTGAACATTTTTGTATTAGTGTGTGTGCAGCATTGTTTGTATTACTGTCTTTTAGTGTGTCAGTGTGCACCTCAGTTTTTGTTATTGTGCTTGTGTTAATGTCAGTGAGTGTTGGTGTGTCTCTCTGCGCCAGCGTTTGTTATTATGTTTATGTAATTGTGTAAGTGTGCACCAGTGTTTGTGAACATTGTGTTTATCTTGTTGTGTTGGTGTGCACCAGTCTGTTAGTGTTAGTGTGTCTGTTTTTGTGTTAGTGTGTGTTAGTGCACATATATGTTTTTTGTCTGGGTTAGTGGGTGTATCAGTGTCTGCATGTCTGGACATGTGTTAGTGTATATCGGT